TTATGTCAAAACCATGCATCAACGTTTAAAACGGAAAGATTAAAAAAATTATCAAGATCAAAAAGTGTAACACATAATTCCAAAACATATGATTTCAAATCATTACTTTAAGTCCTTATGCATAAAAATCATCAAGTATGATACAAACATTTATTTTCAAAATATTCATCATGATAAGGCATACAAGTCAAAGAAATCATTAAACATAAAGCATATTCGTCAATCATGGTTTCATTGAGCATAAGACATTTTTAATCAAAATCATTTTGTTTGTTTATCATAAAACATATAATTTTCATGATTATTTTTAAAATCACTAGAAAGGTAAGCATGATCCAATTTTATTTTTGTATTTTCATTAAACATGCAATTCAAAAAATATATATATAATTTTTCTCAACTAATTTAAGAACAACTCGTGAAAAGCATTATGTAATTTCGAAATAAATTAAAGGAGTTTCGTTTGAGTTGTTTACCTCATTGTCGAATGCCGTTAAGGCGTAGTTTGCCTCCTCACCTTTGTTTTCTCCTCGTTTTCGGACGAGCTTGATTCGTCCAAAGTCGCCTTCTTCTTCTTTTCAAGTTCATTTTTAATTTTCGATTCTTGTTTTAAAAATTTCATGAGGAGTTCAAGTTCACCATCACTTAAGCTTATGCTCGAGTGGTCTTCAATTGTTCTAAGTCCGAAATCCTTCTTGTTCTTTGGAAGGTGGTTGTCAAGTTCTTCACGTGCATTGCACGTCATTTCATAGGTCATCAAAGACCCTATAAGTTCTTTAATTGGTAAATGGTTCAAGTTTTTTGATTCTTGAATAGCCGTTACTTTTGAATCCCAACTCTTATTAAGAGAACGTAAAATCTTGTTTGCAAGTTCAAAATCCGAAAAACTTCTACTAAGTGCGTTTAAACCATTGACGACATCCGTAAAACGAGTGTACATGTCAACAACGGTTTCACTTGGCTTCATTCGAAAAAGTTCAAAATCATGCATTAAAAAGTTGATTTTCGAATCTTTAACTTTGCTAGTGCCTTCATGTGTGATTTCGAGAGTGTGCCATATATCGAAAGTCGTTTCACAAGTAGAAATCCGATTAAACTCAGTTTTATCCAAAGCGCAAAACAAAGCATTCATAGCTTTCGCATTTAAAGAAAAAATCTTCTTCTCCAAATCATTCCAATGGTTCATTAGAAGAGAAGACCTTTGAAATCCATTTTCGATAATATTCCATAAATTCAAATCCAACGAAAGCAAGAAAACTCTCATTCGAGTTTTTCAATATGTGTAGTCCGTCCCATTAAACAAGGGAGGACGAATGAGAGAGTGACCCTCTTGAAAGTCGAAAAGAGTTATTTCTCTTGGGTGTTAAACCAAATGAGAAAAATGAGGCTCTGATACCAACTGTTAGGAACGAGTCGGCACTAAGAGGGGGGGGTGAATTAGTGCAATGGTAAAATCATGGATTTAAATCGTTTCGTTTTGTACGATAAAACCAATTTCGAAAATGCTTAACTTTGAAGGCAATAAGAAGAGCGTAACAAGTAATGAGAAGGCAGTTTGCAGTTAAAGTAAATTGTTCAAGACAAAACGCAAACCAGATTTTTATAGTGGTTCTGTCGTTGTGACCTACATCCACTCCACCGATTCCTCTTCCGTCGAGGCCACCGGCATCCACTATCGGTCTTCCTTCAATAGACGAAGACCAACCACCTTTTACAACTCGATTCTCCTTTTACTGGGTTTAGGAGATGACCCTTACACCCCCAATTACTCCTCTCTCAAACTATTCTAACACTTAGAAGAAGGAGAGGAGTTCACACAAGATTGCAGCAGTGTTTCTTTCTTTTTTTACTCTCAATACTTGTGTTTATTAACCAGGGATGAGGGGTATTTATAGGTCTCAAGTTGATTCAAACTTGGAGCCTAAAAATATCCCATCCCGGATTTCCTGGGTACGGGTGGTACCACTACTAGTGTCAATCTGACACTAACATTGCACTAGGCGGTACCACCGCCTGACAGGGGCGGTGCCATCGCTTGGCACCCTGCCATTGGATGGTACCACCGCAAAGAATTCCTGGGGTGCTGTTCCCCAGGCAGTGCCACTGTCGACCAGGCTTTCAGCATCCTGGTTGGGCCTTGAATCCGGCCCAAACCAACCCAACTTCGGGCCCAGTTGGCCCCTAACAGAGTTGATGGGATTACCTCTCAATCCCAACTCTAATTATGTACTAACTATGATTCCTAAGATATATTCTAAGCAAAATAAGTCCGATTTCTTCCGGTGAGCTTTCGGCGAACTTCCGACGATTTCTCGGCAATGTTCCGGCGGACTCTCGGGAAGCTTCTGGACTTCACGACGATCTTCTTGGCGAGTTCTGACGAGCTTCTTTGGCAAGCTCCTTGACTTCTCGGTTGGTTCCGGCAGAACTTCCGACTAACGTTCGGACTTTCGACGAACTCTCGAACTCCTAATGAAATCACGTTCTTAACTCCGGGACTTCATTTTGCTTTCTGCCTTGTTATCGTAGTTAATCCTGCACACATAAAAATATACTTCGATCTAGACAATCATTACTAAGCATGAATCATGTTGTTCGGCATGTCATTGGTCCATTGACGCTTCATCCGATTCTTCGGCGCCTCGTCCGATTCTTCGGCGCATCGTCCGATTCTTCGACGCATCGTCCTCTCTTGCGGCCTATTGCCCAATCGGCTAGTTGACCTTTGCAACTCCGATATCCTTGGCGCAATATCCGCTCTTCTTGGCTCGATGCCCGAATCCATGGCTCGAAGCCTTCTGTCGATACGTCGACCGATCCTCTGGCGCGACGTCCAATCTTTTGACATGTTTTTCTCTGACCCAACATGATTCTTTCTGCTTTAATTGTCTCTCACTGATCGAAGCATCTTGCGTTACTCAAAACGCATATCAAATCATAAACACTTATCAATTGGTTTTATCATCAAAATACGAGATTCAACAGAAGCTTCTGATGTTTTTTCTGCTGTGAATAGTGCTGCCACACCTTTTATAACTGTGGAGGGGAGGACTCCTAACTAGGGTTGGATTCTCAATTGGAGTCCAACTCTCCATTCTATCTGAGTTAAACTCGGATTGAGCTGGATTGGTTCTTTGAGCTAACTGAATCTAGCTCTTGAGCTTGGGTTTAGTTTGGCCAGATTAAAATTGAACTGGAGTTCGACTCGAACTCCGGTTGAGCTGAATTGGAGCACAACTCGAACTGGGTTTAATCATTCCTGGGTCATCCTCCCTTTAACATGCTCCTGAACCAACACCCAAGCAGCCTCCTAGTCTCAGGACATGTCCAGTAGCATAGTGGATATGCATCAAGCCATCTGGATGGTTTTTGATGTGTCTTTTGATGTACCCTTCTTAATACCAATGCAGATTATCTTGTTATGGATGGTACATCCTGATCAAGGATTTAAATACTTATTCTATGTATGTTTCAGCGACCTATTGAACCAAGATGATACTGTTAAACTAGTGGTAAACCAACCTATACAGTCCGGTACCATTAAATGAACCAGTAGAATTTTTATAAGCAAATAATATGTGAACTCAGATTGAACTACATAGATTTCGATATGGTAATTGGTCAGACTGGTAAATACATGGTTGGTAGGTTCAGGTCTCATGAGTATTCAATACTTTGATCATGACAATATCAATACATAATTTGTCCACAGCATCAATAGTATCTTCACAATACTTGCATCAACTTGAAATTAGCAGATGGTGGCATATGTGTTTTTCCTTCATTCTTTTTGGTACTGAGTGGTCAAAATGTGACCTTTGATTTAAAAGTCTGACACTGGGGTTATGTTAAAACTTTCCAATATATAATATTTATGATTGGTCTTCTATTTGGAATTTATTATTGTACACTGTCCACTGTGTATGATGTTTTCAACAATTTACTCATGCTTTGGTTTGTTTTTGACTAAAATGAAATGTTTTCTAAATACATTCTTCTACACAGCCTATTTCACGATAATTAACAGATATAAATTAGTTCAATCACGGCATTATGATGTTTAAAGCATCAAAAAGTAAAAAGAGAACATCGGATTGTCACGGACTTAGCTGGTTTTGCCTAAGTCGTGCGGCACCCTTGCGTGTCCGTCCGCAAAGGTCAGCCTCCCCGAAGCCTCCCATGGTCCATTAGGACCCACATAAGAGAGAACGGGGTAGAGAAAACGCCTCACTCGGGATCCACAAGCAAACATCTCCGAAAACACTTCATAGACAATGCAAATTACAAACAGACTTTACAAGCTCTGAATAGTTGCACAACAAAGGGTAAAATAGTTCATTTCATCAGATCAAAAATCTCTTATACGTGTCCAAATGACACAACCTTTATTTACAAGCCTAAAGCGGCCACCAACCTAACTAAAATGGGACTATTAAGCCTTCGTCCGTCCCTCTACATGCTGTGTAGAGCATGAACATACCAAAAGACACGGACATACATAAGCATTACATCAAACATCCTGTTTAGAAGTTTGTTCGTGACAGGATGGCAGATCCATGGCTTAAAGTACATATCTATTGTGTGAATTTAAGGGTAAGCGAACAGTCAAGAAAGCATGTCAAAGCTTGAATATGTGAGCCAGACTACTAATTGCGTGCAAGACATGCTGTACTAGCATGGTATGTTACTGGCATTCTTTGCTAGTGTCTGATCAGCATGGTTATGACATGACATATAAAACCTTGAATAAGACTATAATGGTTCAGGTTGGATATGCAACTTCCTTTGTCTTTCTGCATATAATGAATGACAAGTTCTCCTACCTGATGTCAAATTGAAAGATATTTATAAGATATGATTTTTTTACTTAAAAGACATATTTAAGAATGAAATTCAGAAATATTGTGACTTATCAATGGTTAATATGTTTTGATTAGATTTTTTTAAGAAACTGATTGTATTATGTCTTTTCTTATTGTATGTGCACTTAATTCTTGTAGGTTTTGTTCAGACATTTGCAGGAAAAACTCATCATCGCTGAGGTATCCTCTTTCTTAGAATAGATGTTGATACATGTATTGTGTTCTAAAAATTAATATGTTTTGTTGACCATTAGGGAAGTGCACCTAACTGGTAAAAATTGAATATTTTTTTGCTGAAAATTTCTTGTAGAAGCCTGAAATAACCTTGCCAACAAACATACTCTCTGCAGGAGAAACTGAAAGAGTCTCAGTACCAGTTAGCTCCTTGGTATGCAGAGTCATCAAATAATCCAGGCTTTCCACCACAATCACCTTCCGAACTGCTTGGTGCACAAGTGGCTGTTTCTGTATGTCATATGTTGTTTCATTTTAGTTTCCTCCTTGGTATCTTAAATCAAGTTTTCCTAATCTAATATGTTTGTGTCAGGACAAAAATAACCTGGAAATCGTGCCACAGGCAGCCTATCCACATGCACGGTCTCCAATTTCTTCTCCTTCCAACTTTCAAACGAAACCTGACTGGGAGGCAGTCAGGAACCAGAACCAGCAACCTCTTCCAAGTAGTGTTCACGCAAAGAATTTGGACCATGACATCCCAGAAACAAACATTCCTTTAACCAGAAGGTCAGTCTTGATAACTTGGCACTATTCATGAGATGCTCTTATCAGGTGGGGTTCTTTCTTTGTGCACATTTAGATCTATGGTGTTCTTTTTATGGTTCCAGAGTTGTTTTTGTTCAATTAAGACCCCATTTAGGCTTTGATCTAATTATTCAATGTAACGGGTGGTACTTCTTTTGGTTATTTGAAAATATACTATCTTGCTACTTTTTGTGCACATTGGGGTTATTTCTTTAACAGGTGGGGTCTAATTATAATTAAATATACTATCTAATTAAACTATCTTGCTACTTTTTGTTCAATTAACAGGTGGGGTTTTTTCTTTGTGCACATTGAGATCTATGGTGTTCTTTTTATGTTTCCAGAGTTATTCTTGTTCAATTAAGACCCCATTTAGGCTTTGATCTAATTATTCAATGTAACGGGTGGTACTTCTTTTGGTTATTTGAAAATACTATATTGCTACTTTTTCTTGATGTCTTTGACTTTATCTAGTTCTAACTTGTATGGAACACCTACTGCACCACCCTTGGTCACTTCTTGTTGAAATGCATCTTTAGTTATTTGTCAAGTCGATGCTTGAACTTAAAGAAATTTCACGAGCTTTGTCCTTAATGTTGCTTCTGTTTTCTTTTTACTTCTTTTGTTACCCCTCTTCTTCCTCCAGTGTCTATTATCTTCTTTTTATTATTCTTTCTTGTATTCCATTCCTATACTCCTTTTCCTTCTCAACCTCGCCCCTTATTAACAGGTAATAGATCTTCAGGTTCTCCAAAGCTTCTTCATTGACTTGGTAAGCTTGTGAGCAACAACAGTTGTGGTTGTACTACAGAGGTACATGAGATTTGACCTTCATCCTGCCTGATGAATATATAGAGTTACTGCAGCAAGGACTGGACTTCAAGCCTTGGTTCAAGTTTATTGTGACTGTTAAACTTTTTTTTCTCTCCTTTATTTGCTTGAACCAAAAATCACAGGCCAGGAATTGGTGCTTTTTAAGTAACAAACAACAAATGCATTAGAATTTAGAGGTGCCACACAAGTGAGTTTTTGCAGACATTTTGGAGAGTGCAGCAGCTGCTTCTTTTCTGTTTTTTCTTCCAGTGGTTTGTTTACCGATTTCTGCTTAATCACACATTTGTTCTTTCATCACATATTTACATCAGTGTTACTGCTATCTTCTTTATATTATTGCTATGATGAAGCAGAAATCTGTTTTCAATAAAAAAAAAATTGTTGTAAGTACTATGCTAATTAATGTGATTCATATGCCATCCGTGGCGCAAAATGGGGCAATCTATCCACTGCCTTGATATTATTCCTGTCTCTGTTTTGTCTTTTCAGGAATTCCATTGCCTACGATGCTTCAATTCAAACAAATCAAGATGACTCTCATGTTGCACATCTTAGTGCTGACTCCAAAAATATTAAAAGCAGCAGGAATGATGATTCTGAGACTGTTTCTCTTCAGCATGGACGAGAACCTACTGTACACTGGGCTCCTGGAAACTCCCCCTATTTATCATCTGGACAGGATGATCCAAACTCTTACCCTTACCTTCCAACTGTCCTTGAGGAGCCCAGTTCTTCATTCTCCGAAGGTATGAGACTATTTATACATTTGTATTATGTTTCATTTCAGGTTATGAAGTGATGATCCATGACTTCTTATAATAACTTCAAATATGCAGCAGCAGATGATGATCCCTTGCCAGCAATAGACGGTCTTCGAATTTCTGGTGAAGCATTTCCTGGAAGGGAACTTCAAGCAAGTGGCTACTCAATCAATGGAACTACTAGTTGTAACTTTGGGGTGCTTTTTCTAACTCCTGTACCATTGTTTCAACAAACATTGCAGCATTTATATTTTTGGTTGAAATAAAGATTGCTATTTTCAGTCTCATTAGTAAGTGGTAACAACAGTTCTTTTTCCCATTTGTAGTGGGTACGGTATTTAGAAGATGGATCTGTGAACTACATCGAAGGTATAATATTTCCCAAATTGTTCCAAGTTCTATCCTTCTCTTGTTAATCTTTGTTCAAGGAAATTTGGCGCTCATGATCTCTCTGTTGGTAGGAGCAAAACAACCCACTTATTTAGTTACTGCTGATGACGTGGACTCATACCTTGCTATTGAAGTCCAACCCCTGGATGACAGGAAGCGGAAGGTATATCTGTTTGCTGTTAATAATTTTTGCAATTGTACTGTGTCAAATCCAAAGAGATGATAGCCTGCTTGAATTGCAAGGAAGATTACAGACTGAAGACTGGTAGATCATTGTTGTTGCTTTACAAATGCGATGTGTTCTGATCATCATCTTTGAAATGAATCTGTGTTTTGTAGTTAAACGGTTTAGAGAAATGCAGAAGTTTTTTGTTCAAAACGTTAATCATCTACATTATAATTTTCATAGAGAATTTTTAGAATTTTCTTGTGGAAGAAATTCTCGGTCCATAAATGTTCTTCTGGAAACTTTTCAAGTTTTCAACTACAGAAAGTACTTCCATTTGCTGAAGTAGATATGGTCTCAGGAACAAACAGCAGGAAGTCTTGTGGTCATATTGAGCAGATTTTTGTGTTTAATTTAAGAAATAATAGATTAATATATTCATTACTTTCTGTTGATAACTACACAGGTTTAGGTGACATTTTTGCTAATAGTACCTCCCCTTTTTCTTACTGTAGGGTGAACCTGTAAAGGTTTTCGCTAATGATCAAAGAAAGATAACTTGTGGTGAGGCACATGTTTCTATTGAGTTGGACGTTTCTCTATCTCTCATTTTCTGTTAAACATGATATTTGAAACCAAGGCTTTCTTGTGTTTTTGATGAAATTTTTCTTCCTACAAGATGATATTGTCTTAAAAGCATGCACTCACAAATGATCCGACCTTGTGAAGTGTAGATCACTTGTGTTTTTTAGTTGAAAATTTTCTGGTCCACAAGTGGGGGACTGTATGATGGTATAGAGATGTTACTTGCAATTTATCCCTTATCCAGAACCTGAATAGTAGTCTCTATATTTATGTAAACGTTGATTTATGGATTGCATAGAAGTCGTAGGGCTTAGATCCAGTTCTCCTAATAGTTTGTTGAAGCATACACTGTTATGTATATTTACTATATCGAGAAAGTTCTTTTGCTGTGGGCAGAACTTCCACAGATGTTTAATCGTACTTGTCTTACTGCTCTCTCTGATGCTGATTAATTGTAACATCTGTTACTTGCATGCTACTTTAAGACTTGTAACTAAGACCTTGTTGTCTCAGGTTACCTTTTCCTCTTTTACTTGAATGTTTATGTCTCCGTGCAGTTAGCATTGCTATATTAATCTTGTTGCTAAGTGCCTGATTCTGTTCTTAATATTTAATTTTGTTTAAGGCACTAGCCTATCTTTTAACTTTATATAAATATGCACTTTTACTTTATCGTTTGACAGATCCTGAAATGCAAGAGCAAATTAAGAGAACTCTTTCGGATGGACATGTATCATATGAGGTTTTGCTATCGGTATGTTTTTTGCTAGCCTTTTTTATCTCTTGCATTTGTCAGTGGGAAATCAAGTACACTGGGGTAATACTTGTCACTAGTGTTTTGAATGTGTTCACTTATCGGCAGACTAGATATCTTGACATATGGGATCCTGCTATTTTGTCAATAAAGAGAGAAGGTTACAGCATAAAATGCACTGGGCCACGTGGTGTTGTTGTCACGGAGAAATTTCAACCAAATACTACTGTATGATGCTTCCCTTGTCATGCATTTATTTTTAAATGGATCCTGTTCCCTCCCCCCAATTTCTCTCTTTTCTCCTCCTCTTTATGCCCCTTTTTTGGTTTTTTTCATGTTCTTCAGTCATATTCTCATTTTGAAAAAGTTCCCTCATGACAAGATATAAGGTTTCAGATGTAGGTATAATGTCTATATTTGTTTAAATTTTTATCCTTGTTGATGCTATATATACTGGAATGTGTATAAAAATCATTCGATGCAAGTTCTGAAGGTAATGTAGCCTTTGGTCACAACTGATGAGGACGTTTGTAAAGATTTGTTGCATTTGTTCCTAGATATAATGTACTTCCATACATTAATGGGAAGATATTTTATGTCCAAGAAAAATAGTACAAAAACTCAAGTGTAATGAGAAAGGATTATTTAAGTTTAAATTGAAGGATTTTACTATGCTCGAAGATGTTATAGACAATAGGCAAATATTTCCAATTGCCTTTATTTAGAATATTTTGACATATTTTATATTTTGTGATGAAATGATCTCTCAGTCCTTTTTGATGTCCAACATGAAACTAGATTATTTCAAAAACAGAAATTCACTACAGAAAATCACTGTTTGAAGCAAAAAATATTGTGAAGACATACATATGTTTACTTATAGTTGCTCTGATTTTTATTGAGATGGACTGTGGTAAACATAATGAACTTAAACTAGTTAAACATAGTTTCACAAATTAAATGCAAGGACTAAGTTTTGATGTGTATATTGTGTAATTCGTGATTTTAATACTGAAAATTAGGGATAATATTGTAATGATTTATATCTTAGAGTAAGACATTAACAGGGTTGATTAGTCTTAAAATTTCAAATATCAAGCTGCGAAAATATGGCATAATCAAGTGAGACCTAAGATGACAACTGTGAGATGGTGGTCAGAACTATTGGATGGATAGAGTGTATTTATAAATCACAGTGCTACTTGATAAAGAAAATGGGGAATGATCCAGGTGTGTTCTTGAGATCAAGAATAGGGTAAAATAATGATGACATCTTGTTTTCAACTAAAGGATTATAAGTGATGTGATGAAGGCTTGGATGCAAATGAATTGGGAGGCCTATGATGGGACCTTTTAATTTGTTGGGATTGATTATGAATTCGGAGCAAATGGGGCAGGCAAATCATTTGGTAGCTTGGAAGTTCCCCATAATTCTTTGTTTATTTATCTGTATATTGGTTAATCTGAAATTTCTTAGTTCCATATATTTCTTTGTTTATTTGTCTCTATGGTGGTCAAGTTTGTAATTTCAACATCTGCATGACCTTTCTTAAATATGATATTCCTTTCACCTTCAGTTGTTTGTGTACACATGTTTAAGGTACCTGTGGACTATGTTGAAGTAGAACACTATGAATAAAAATTTTATTGTGCTTCTGCAGATTGCAATCCCGTATGTACATCCTACAGAGTTTTTGATTCAGGGCACTAACGGAGAACATCTGTTGAAGACAGAAGTTAGTAGTGTGTGAGTTTCTGTTTATGCCATTTAGTATTTTAGCAGTTAATCCACGTTATACCAATTGATGTTTTAGTGATAAGCTACACCATTGAATGTTATCCATAGCATATGAGTAATCTTGGTCAAAGTATGTGCCATCTTGTTGCTATTTCTACTAATTATTCATAGTGATGTATCGTGTTTGCATTTTCAGGCTGCGAGATACAATTGTTCTTACAATGAGATTATTTAAAGTGATGGTATATACTTTTATCCCAGTATTTATGTGCATTCAGTGATGAACTTAGCATATTCTGATCTTCTAATGACATTAATTTTTTTCCATATTTGCTCTCAGTATATCCATTTGATTAACTGTTTAGTCAGGTCTATCAATTTTTTGCTCATTTAAATACCGATAAAGGTACTATTATTTCTTCCACAATTTAATTATTGAGTGATAATTTGTCAACTGGTTGCGCTATTACGTGGCATAGCTTACATGATTGGGGATTTGGAATGAACATTTTTAAGAGATGGACTGAAAATATCATAAGAAGACTTCAATTATGGAGTTTAACTAGGCAATCCTCTTTGCAGAAGAAATTGTCATGGCTCTCTAAAGTTGACATGGCACCATTTAGCACCAAACAAAGCCCCAGCATTCACAGACAAAACACTTAAGCCATCTGTGGCCCGCTGTCCATGTCATTGATTAGCTTATCATGATAGGTAGCCAATCACCCACCTGATGTGCTTTCATGAAAAATTTTTGTGAATGCACAATTATCAAAAGCTAATTGGTAGCTGCTTAATCTTCTTTGAACACTTTGTGTGTTGTCTCAAATGTTGTGGATTGTGTATTAACCGGTTATCATCTCAGCTATTGTAAGGCAGTATGCTTCAATCAGAACTCCACATTCTGCTTATCATGAGTATGCAAAATTTTTGACCCTCTACTAACTATGCAAAGTTTTGCCTAGCTAGTAAGTGGAAATCATTCACCATCAGTTATTTTAACTATTGTGAAGTAATCTTTCTAGCAAAATCTAAATTCAGTACTTCATTTCAGATGCAAAATTCAGACACTCTTGTTGCCTCTGCAGCCAATAAAGCATCAGCTTGATTGGCCCAGTAAACATCTACAAAGGGTAGCTACTTCTCCATTAACTCTGGTAACCACCTCCAAGCTCTCTATATCGGCAGGTTGTTCCTAGCCAACCTGTATCTTGCCTTGCTGCTGACATGGCTTAGATTCATACTCAAGCAGTGTCTAACTGCCTTTGACCCAGGTGTAGCTATCATCCATTATGTATAAACAAATGTCCATTTAAAGAATAATATTGTTCAGAAATTATCAGGGATGCTAAATAGTCTAGTAGAAGCTATTGTAATTTGTTGTCTATGCAATTGCCATTGTTGCAGTTCATAGTTGCTGAAAATGATGTTGGGAATTATTCTCCAAGTTATCAGAACTGGAACATGCTGCAATTGCTCCATCCAATGAAACCAGCATCCCGACCCCTTTTAGGTTCTGTTGTGTTGAATCAGACAGGCATGAAAACCAAGAGAAACTGAATGACCTGGCCAGTTTTCTGGTGAATTATGTAAACTGAATGGTTTAAAAAGGAATTTGACCATTCTTAATTATGTGTAAAAATAGCCCGTTGATTATTATTCACCTCAAATGATCATCCTTTACTTATCCGCTTGTGTTCACCTCTGTCAACTTCCACCATTTGTGATGCCCTGATGTCACAGATGCTTGCTCCAGCCTGCCATCAAGAAGATAAAGAAGTCTAAATGGCGATAGGAAAAAGGGTTGAGAAGGCTACCTACAACTCCTATGCCAACCTTGCTAGGCACTCCTTTTTGAGCTGCCATAACATAGAAGATTCAGAAGGAAAGGGATTGTGAACTGACAAATGAACAAAGTTCAGGGGGAGAGAGAGAGAGAGAGAGAGAGACAGAGAGTAAAAAGAAAGAAAAAAAACAAAATAAAAAAAGAGGCTGAGCATAAAATAAAATGAAAAAAAATGAAAAAATGAATAGTATACTTTTGTA